ACATAAATAATGAGGTGACAGGGGTGGAGCATGAGGTAGGTTCAAAGGTGGAGCAGGAGCATGTTCAGATGCTAAAGCAGAAGAACATGAGTTTTGTTTACCAAGTTGCGTCATAATATTGAGTTCCAGTAATTAAAATACTCAATGCAAAAATTTCCCTACGAACATTATCAAGCTATTTGTTTACGAAATAGCAATAAGACCGGATAGAATTTTAAAATGCCTGCTAGTCGTTGTAAAAGCACTCCATCTCTCAATGTCTTCAAATCCAAATTAAAAACATATTTGTTCAATTGAGAGATCCGATTTTGTAGAATTTAGTAAAAAGGAGCTCTGAACCAGCGCAGCTGAATACATTTGTATAAAAGCTGCGCTATATAAATTAATTATTATTATTATTATAGACAGAGAAATAAAGTCAGACGAGAACGAAGAAAATATTAGAGAGAAGGAGAAAAAAAGAAACATCAATGTGCCTAAACGCGTACCAGCAATTCAATTCAGATTTATTCAACACAATGTATTTACCTATCATGCCTATATTACAAACCAACGAAAAGAGACGGGACAAAATCATGACTGTTAGTCGGAGTATGTCATAGGCGTTGTCACATTACATGTAAACATGAATACAGGGGAGGTGGGCGTGGGTTGGAGCACGTTACATGTAGCTCGGTAGAAATATAGAGACAGGTGCCCTCTTAGCATTGCGTCCGATGAACATAAAAATGAATTTAGATGAATACATGGGCGTGGTCATTTTGGCTTAGAGGGAAAGGGAATGTTAACAATGGAAGAAATGCCAGCTTTTTTTCTTTGGACCAACATGGATGCACCAAGAAATAATCTTTTAAAGCTCATCATCATTTCGATAAAATAATACAAAACATGCCTAAGATATACATTGCAAAAAGTTAAGCAACCTTAAACACAAATCCCCTTTCTATCCCACTTTCACGATGACTTATTCTGAATCACAGAGATCACTATAATATCCATGACGAATCGAACGATCTATACTGTCATGCCTGTTTGTTCAAACAATAATCCAGATAAATGAGATAATACAATAATGGGTTATCTATGTAGGGATAAAGTGAGTCAGCTCGTAGATTGGTCCAGCGATCAACGATGAGGGCGAACAGAATTTATCGAAGCATCTCATTATCTTTGCCTTGACATTATAAGCAACATCGTTGGAGTGAACTAGTCATCGAGCGGGGCTTTTTACTTAGGCTATTTCATTTTCGTTTTTATTTAAAGGGAATGTCGTTGATTGATAGCATGTGAAGAGCAGAGTGTTAAAGAGTGATACTTATACTTCCTTCAATTTCATATTCAGTTAAAGGAACACCAAAGGTATACCAATCAGAAAATGAAATTGTATGCGAGAAATATCTTTCCTACAACAGTATTGTATCATATCATATTCCGACTTCAAAACGAAATTATTGACAGCTTAATTGCATAAACCAGGGTCCATGCATAAACTGACTGAAACTATACAGCATGTCATTGTTGACGTTTTATTTCTCACGAAAATACACTAATTTATCATAGAGGTGACATCTGGAGAAACTATATACCATGTAAGAACATGAAATCGAAAGGTACATTCTCGATAGTGTGAATTCCCATGCAGCTAGACCTCGCACGTGGCATTGGAGAATAATAGTATACATGACATCTTTCGTTGAGGCTAATTCTCATATTCATATTCACCGCTGGATGAATATTTACCATGCCAACAAATAAATAATGTCAAACCATGAACTTTGTATAAAGGGGTAACATATCATAATACAAAAATATCAGTCAGATCATATATACAGAAGTAAATATTAATCTTGAAACAGAACAGGAAATGTATTTTTGTTGTTTCATCTTGTGCTATTCTTTATCAAGTTGTCATTGTTTCAACTTAATTGGTAACAGTGAACGCTATTATAGGTGGTTGACCACGTTTAGACATCAACATTCAATGAGTATACCTTATAGTAGCCATACCCTACTAGAAGTTTCCGTATGCCTTTTCCCCCTTTTTTTCCTACAAAGATGAGTACCTAATAGATACGGCATTCTAGCTTAAAACTCATGGATGATCAACTATGTAGGCCAATATTTGCTTAATTGAAAATTTACGACTTTTACCAGAGCATGACGAAATTTGCAATAAAGTGACCCCGTTATCAAATTTCCCAGGTGAATAATTACTGCACATTATCGTGGCAATAAAGAGAAAATGAAAATGAAAGTTGTCTATTACCAAACCTTGTAAGTCGCAATTCTTCACGTGGCCTAATTAATGACGCGATTTGATATTACACAACTATATTACATGAGGCTTATGCTCGTAAATATTTGTCAATTCGCGAGAAATCGCAAATATATCAGTCACGATAGGAAAGAGAGAAAACAAACGGAAGCTATGTAGTTTCAATATCACTTATTACCAGACACACTCCCCTCAATATCGATTCCTGAATAATGAATAAATGACATTAAGCTATTTGTAAGAGATGGTCCCTTTCCTCTCTCACTCTCACGCTCTCTCTCTCCCACCTCCCACTGTGAAGATAGGTGGTCTTTGTAGACAGGTTCCTTTAGTACATGTTTCAATAATAAACAATTTTCAAGGAAAACAAAAAACGTGGTCTCTGACTGTAGACAGTCATTTACAACACAATGTTGTTAATTCAACTTTCATGAAAGTACATGCGCACAGAGGCTAAAAACAAGGTTTAATTGCATTGTCGATTTTTGTTAACATTATTGTCTGGATATATATTTTATTCATTTCTATTTCTCATAAAATGATCGCAAAACTCGAGCGGACAATAAACTAGAAGTTTCTAAACGATACTTTATGCATAACTTGATCTTCATTGGAATTCCTTCCAGACAGCATCTTTCCCCATTCTCCGCTTCGTTCAATGTTGATTTTAGGAAATCCCAGGCTGTATTAGGTCTATTGTGTCTCGCCCTTACCCCTCCAGGCTCTCATAAATCAGTGACTCACTTTTCTCATTCTTCTACAAATTTGATACAAATGCCCATTATCATAATAAAATCACGATGAGGCCCCCATCCGACTACCATATTTATCCCGCCGAGTCTGGATGGAGCAGTGATTCACGCTGAGTCATGGTTGATGGTTTGTTTTACCTGACTGCTATATAAGAAAGCATGTGTATGCTTTTAAGCAAGCAACCATGGGACAGACGGCTTTGAGTCCTTTCCGAGGGACTTAGTAATGAGGATAAATGCCTAACCAAGGGACGCTTACGAGACCACTGCTCCACCAATCATGTTCTGATTACATAATATTATATCATTGTCATGTTTGCACATTTCTATTGATGTAGCATAAAGCTATTTACTTGTCTTAGCTAAGCATACACAGAATTCTTAACGATCGGCAGACTTGTTCCTCCCCCCTTTTCCCCCTCCCCCTTTTATTCGCCTTAACCCTATTTTTTTCCTTCTTCTATTTTCAAGGGATATGGAGACCGAGCATTTTCCTCTATTGCTCCTCGCCTGTGGAATTCCCTCCCATCATCTATTCGCGAAATTGACATCCTTGACCACTTCAAAGCTTCACTCAAAACTCACATCTTCCTTCAGACATTTAAATGCTAACTTTATTGGAGGGGCTCGCGCCTTTGTATGTTTTTTTTTAACAGATGAATGGCGCCATGCAAATGCTGTGAATCATCACCATCTTCTATTTTGCCAAATATGCTTTAATAGTAGCACTTGCTTTCTGCAAATAAATGCAATATAATGCCTACACAAATTTGATATTTTAGAAACTGATCATCCACGTATTTTACGCGAGGTTACTCCAGTTCACAGCAAAATATACAGAACCAAAATATCCCTAAGATTATGACCATGATGAAAGATTTAGATCCGCTCTGCATAGAAATAAGGGGGAAATTATCATAATTATCCCTCAGCTCTAAGCGGATGTGATCACGGAGTGATCCACTCTAATCACTCAGATACTTTGATATTCATCCGCCGATTTTAATTAGAGCGAGGGAAGTCTTGATAACCTTGTGCGATAAAATTTAATTCCCTCCCGCGACACTGCAAGCTAGAGGATCACAGTGGCGTAGCCCCAATGGGCGGCTCACATCACGGGTGATGGACACTTATCCGCCCCTTTCTGATGGGAAGATGAGTTTCCGATGGGAGTTGGTCTATAAGTATCTTCCTGTGTTCTAAATAACATGATGCTAATTGTGTGCACTTCCTGCAACCCCCCCCCCCCGGAAGAAGGAAATAGGAGATAAATATCCAATAATGATAATCCCCTTTCGGGGGGGGGGGGCTTGGTTTCTGAGGATGAAGGAACGGTACCAGTGGAGGCAGGTTGACTAGACATCGTTGTACATGGATCATAATCATCATCATCATCATGTATCGCTTGACCAAGCCACAATGCAACGCGTAAATGTATACCATAAATTGCACCGCAAAGATATATGAAAAGGTACTAAGATAAATCACTAAAGTGTTTGCACTGTGTATTGTGGCTGCCTTCTAACACGTATGAATAGCTCAAGACCTGAGGTCTATATACAGCTAATTGTCCACGAACAAACGATTATTGCATCCATTAATCATGCGAGTGAGGTCATTACTAATACATTCATGAAGGACTGTGTCATTAAAGACGTCGACTGCTTAGATTACCTGGTACTCAGTTCCACCTATTCAATCGTTTACTTTGAATTAATGCAAAGTCATGTTTATTTAATTTATAACCATTAACTTTGTATTGATGACTTGAGCACATAACGAAATTAAGAGTTTTATTGTGTGTGTTTGAGCATTGAACGAAAATCGATTGGCAATTTATTATGCATTGCAAGTTAATTTGATATGTGATTATTCTGTGCCTGAAAACGTGCTGGTGTTATCCTCTCTCCCTCCCACCATGGCACTTACAACTCAAAACCGCCACTTATGTGAAAATACAATGCTATGCTTACCTTAATTTTGAGGAGGGTAGGTTTTCTGCCTGGACGACCCTTCCTATACTCTTCAAGCAACCTGCAAAACAAATCAACAAAGAAATTTGTGAAACAAGACACGTTTAAGGAAATACACACAGTGAATATTGGACATTTAATACACATAAAAGAACAAAAATATATAACTATTTTATGTTTTAAGATACGACAGTCTCACACTGGGAACTATTAATTTTGTCATCGCATCCGATTTGGCCACACGGTAGGTTATTTTCATTTCATATTTAATTTTGTATAATCTGGTACCTACGAACGTTGAAATAATTCCATTTCGTAATCACTGATTGATTCGTCTACTGAAGAAAAAAGAAAAAAAAAAGCATTGTAATCCTCATGATATGATGAATTATGTTATGTCTATTTTTCCAGATTAGATTGAGTGGCGAAAACACTCGCCTAATAATAAAAAAAGAGGAAATTACCTAAATTGCAAGTCGGCCAAATCAACAAACATGATTAACTATAGGTGCATTGCTTTATAAGAAGAAAAACATTTGCCAACATTTTAATTTCTATCAGGCATGTGAGGAAATGTAATCTGAGTAGCTACCCATAGAATGATGTAAACATGTAGATATGAAAGTTACTAAATTGTTTCGTTTTCCTTGTGATAATTATTGGCTACGCCTACGCTACATTACAGGGAATAGCATATTTTCATTTGGTACATGGGAACAGAATTGTTTATGCTCGTGTTGGAATAATAACAGGGTTTGGATTTAATTATTCCTTCATATACGTGTTGTTTGTTTGATTTATTCCGCATGTCATTTACATGGGACAGTCAAACATGTCTATATCAACCGCCCAAGGGAAACACAAACAGTGGTCTTTGTAGACAGTTTCCTTTAGTACATGCTTCAATGAGAAATCGATCTTTGTAGACAGGGTTCTTTTAGACAGGTGGTCACTAAAGCAGGTTTAACTATATATCATTCTTCAATATAGGTACATTTATATGGTCCTATCTTTTGCTCCATCTCTCTGCATAAAAAATAGAAAATATGAATATCTTTACCCCAAAAGATTATTTCATAAACTCAAACAAATTTAAGTTTCTGTGTATATAGTTATAAGGCTCATGCCGTATTTTTGTTTGTTAAATCTTTGAGTAGACCTCTTTGCCAATAACCAATTAATGTTTCATAGGGTCCATGATATAATAAACAGCTAAATAAATCAAATTAATTCCGACAATTGGATTAAAATCAATCCATTCATGTCTAATCAATAATTCATGGTGTAAATAAAAATGTAGCTAAGTGGATCACAGTCAAATATGTTGTACAGAATCCATTTGACCTATATGGTGATGTGTACATACATGATGTTGATAATGATATTTGATCAATTATTGTTTGTTGATGTAATGGTAAAACAGTTGTGTCCCAGATCAGTCAATGTCAATCCTCTTAATGGAGCATTAACCAATTTCCCGCGTAATACCAGATACACCGCCGTAGAAGTTAATGAACTCTGACTACAGGGTACCTCAAAAGATAATAAACAATCACAAAAAATGAGCCCCACTTCTCAATGAGTAAAGAAGATTGTGGATGAAGGTGAGTTTGTTGTTTGATAAATCACATGAAGAACAATTTAATACCTGCAATACTTGCAATGAAATTTATATCATACTTCAAGGGTGCCTTAATAATCAGTATGCTACTGCTAAGTGTGTATGCATTTCACCTCTGACTTAGTCACCCTTTAGACCTATGATATTTTGTTTCGAGGGACACAGTTTAATAAAGGAACTGTGACAATGGCCGGTGAGTGAGAAGAATACAACATTCACACCAAACAATAATAATAACATCAATAATAATAATAATTAGGTAAAACGATTAAAAAAAATATCACATACACTTCCTTTGGGGACACAGATTTGCATCATTATCGAATACTTCTAGATAAACTATGATACTATTTTGTTCAAATAAATCTATAAATATTTTTAAATGATTCAACAATCCTTACTTAGTTATGAGAAAGCAAAATTAACACAAGAAATAAAACATTGGCTGACCCCAAACAGATAATTTAAGAAACTTTCGTTTCAAAATCAAATGGGATTTTTTTTCTTGAAACACCCTGTACCGCGGTTAGTTCGGTGCCCACAAAAACATACAGAATATGGTTTGAAGGATTTGCTAAATCCATGCGCATTAAACTCGAAACTATGCCTGATATATCAACTTAGTGTATAATGCATATCCTCTGAAATCTCTTCGATCACATGTTAAGGATTAATACGCCACGGAAAAGTCGTGTTTATTCCAGTACGTGATGTTAAAGATAGAGGCAAGAGGTCATTAACATCAACTGTAAAACGAACTTACATAAACTAAAATATAGTGTATTATATAAAACATTTAAACAAAATAACAGACTGCTTTTTAACGATAAAGCCCTTTTCATATTGAATAATCACTACTTACGCTTTGAAATCAATTATAAATTAAGCAAGGTTGTTTGACAATTTTGAAAAAATACGATAATATACAAACAAATAAACAAAAAATCAGGACGAGAGCAAAGTAAATAAACTTTGATTAAATCTACAGTTTCTTCAAATACCGACAAAACACCAAAATATGAGAAAACTCGACAGTTTTTGCTTGCAATGTAAATGCAGCTATTATATCTTTTTAGCCACTGAATCTCACAGGCCATGCACAAATTCAATTGGACAGAAAAGTGACCGATACTTCCTTTATTATTTTTAAAAGGTTCAGACAAGAAACACATAATAATATTTCTATTTGCCCTTCTACTTGCTGGTAATGACTGTGCTAAACCCTCTGTTATGTTCCCATCAGGGCACTACATTGACTTGCTAATAGACTTCTGTTGTCAACCGGCTTGTTGATCAAACCTAATATATCATACATTGATCTATTTCCCGAGAATCCTATTCATCAAAATGCTTTATACGCTCACGTTGCTTCGGGTTCCGCATAACAACGTGGCGAGGGAGATGACACGTTTATTATTCGATGCCACATTAATTCGGCCATCTATCTAGGTAACGGATGTTCACACTACTGAAGAACGTGACCAATCGATCGCTGCTGACAAGACGCTTGAAATCATCATCATCATATTTATAAGCATCTCGTCATTTATTTTCACCTTTCTTCCGCCCTTCCGGGTGTAATTTGTAAAGCGCTTAGAGACATTTGTATTAAGCGCGATATAAACATTAAATATTATTATTATTATTAATTGTCTGAACACACTTCTATCAGGTAACCATTGGAGAGAGTTTTGTCAGATTACAAAATTAAATTGTGAACAATTATTACGGTGAATCAAAATATCAGTCTTTGTAATAATTCGATATTGCGTTTTTTTTATAGAAATACGTAGATAATTATATGCCTAATCATTAATAAACTTTAAACTACCTTTGTTATCTTATTTTATTGACTGTCGTATCAAGAAGAAACATGAATATTACGCATTTTCTGGAATTATGATTGCCGACCTGAACATGCCCTTTGTAGAACCTATTGTTTTTTAAACATGTGGGTTAGTAGTCACATATACAAATATGAAGCAAATGCAAATTCATGCATACTTTTACCATTCTTTTAATAGCAGTCATAAAGTCAACACACCAACAGACCGCATTTAAATTTTGCATATCAATGTGAACTAGTTAATGTGAACATTCCATATTGTATTCGCCTGGGATCTAGAGCAAACGAACAATCGTGGGCAGATGGATAATCGATTTTCTTGGGCACATTTTCAGAGTGTAGCTACAAAAGGGCGCATTTTTCTGCTAACGGATCTCCGTGCGTATTTTGTGTGCTCAAACTGTTTGAGATGACTAAAATAAAGATTAATCAATAGAACTCAATATCACATTAAATGTTTAGTACTTTCGTAGATACTTGAATTCCAATATTGGAAATAAGTTATTACATTTTACCAAATTGAACTTCATTCGTTGATATCTACAATATTGGATTGGACGAAGTTCCGCATCCACAAACTCTAAAAAGAAATAGTATAATAAGGCGTCGTTCCATAGGCCTACATAAACTATTTGTTATTGTATGAACATCTATTACAATGAAGACGTCAATTCATGCTATGTTTATGACGACCCCCTTGTCACTAGACAGGTTAAAATCTTGTTAACCTATGATGACCTATATACTATATAGAAATGAATAACGTCAAATCTGATCAGATAGTTTTGTCTTTCGATATGACTATGGACTCCGCCCGACGCATGGTTACATTCAATGGCTGGCATACCCGCCTACATCACAGACCTACATACCCACAGAGCATTATGCCCAGAGTATCCCATCAGACTGATCACTCAAGGTCTTGAGCAATTAATCCTCCTCTTCGACGCCTCCTGATCATCGTGTATTGACACGTCACAGGCCTTGACGACGCCAACTCAAATTCTTTAACGGTTCAATGAAATATTTCAAGTTGTTAAAGCAAGATGTTGTAAGCGGTTTTAAAGGAAGTGTCAAGCACAGCGAGCTTGTCTTGTGGGCGTAATGGTCCCTCCCCCCTTCGGCTTAATTCGTTCCATCGGATCTTCGCGTCGGGTCGGGTTAGACGACCTTTCGTGAAAACTTACCTCCATATTCTTGAAAAGTCGGGTAATCTGAATGCGAATAATCACCTTTCTTTGTTCACTGAAGTTTAGTTTATAATACTTGTATGAAAGCATACACATACAATCGGACAGTGACGAAGTGTCTATCACTTTCCTTTTAACGACAACTTTTGCTTATACCGTATTAAAATTTAAAAGTGTTGGGTGAACTGGACTCGACACTTCGGCGATAAATAGGTTGTTTCACAAACCCTTTGGGAATTAGAGCTTGTGTATTCACGAATATTCATGTAATGCGAAGAAGAAGTAAGCTCCATTTTCTATGAAGATTAATGTTAGCCAAGTTAGAATATACAGATAAAAATTCATCATTTTATGCCTTCATGACTTTATGTGTACTTATTCCAAAATCGGTTTGAACTGAAGAAAAATGTATCTCATATCAGAGAAGAGATGTGACAATAAAGTGACTAACTGAATGGTTCTCTACACCTGAGCAGGGATGGTCTATCAAAGCAACTAATTCCTTGACCATTAACCAAATTACAAACACATTTAACGTCACTAATTAACCAAACAGCGAATTACTTGTAATGGGATATGAGCAGGGAAGAGTCGTTAGGCCATAAACTCAAACATTTAACATGACTTATTAATCAATCAGCTATCAATGAATGATACCATAATTGTGAAGAATAATTGCGACATACGTAGGCACCTCCATTGATCGCTATATTGGGCAGAGTCGGCTGGTTTCCCTTTTTACGGTTGGTTGGTTTACCTGCAGAGTTTCTACGAAATGGACCTTGATGTGGTTGATGTACCATGCATGGCATGCTTCCCGGATCCTTCCCATTTGTGGATGAGGTAATGATATAGGTCTATTTACACAAAGATTAAATCAACACGATTCTAAGAACTCACGAGGGTCTAAGCATCCCCAGGGAGAGGAGATTGTGCACACAGTGTGTGCGGGCAAGCACTGAATCCAATGACCGGTGTAATAATATATTTGTAAAGCGCTTAGAGACATTTGTGATAAGCGCTATATAAAAGCTAAATATCATTATTATTATAAACATAGAGGACCTAACCATTGCCTAAGCGACCAACGGCCAACGAGACTAACATCCCTAGAAGACCAACACCCCATACGACCGACACCTACATATCAGTCCCATGATCCTACGACAACTGTTTCTGACCCTTCACGAGACCGTGGCCGTCATGTATACCTGGTCCGCTGTTACTCTACTTCATAGAATGCCACGCGTGGTTAGAAATGTGAGGAGACAACATAAAATCACGATGTTTTGACCACGGTGTAAAACATGGCCACATTCTCTCCAACCCCCCCCCCCCCCCCGAGGGTCACATGTTTCACGTGTGGCACTGTCAGGTCACGAGGAAGTAATTGGGGGTATAGTTTTGACAATGGAAATCTGCTCGATTAATCCAGCTGCGGTTTTCACGGTAAGAAGAATACATGAGAGGGGGCATTGTGGTTATTGTGGCTCGGAGGTTATTGCATTCACTTTGAACATGAGCCTCGCTTATTAATTTACAACCAAGGCGATGTTTGTTTGTTTTTGTTTGTGTTGTTGTTAGGGGGCTGATCACCCCAAGTACCCCTCCTAAAAAGCACATGATCAATCCTGGACCAGTGATTTATTGATTTTAGGTTACAGGAAGGTATGGAAAAAAAGGAAACAGTTGTGCAGAAAGTAAACACTTCAATTGGTACAAATTCCAGGCATACCCACTTTAGGAGCTTATGCGGCACGTAGCAATATCAATACATCATAATATAGGTCTACGTGTATACATAACATATCAGTTAACATACATGTACAAACAGGGTAGGATATTAGTTTAACCTCTGAATTAATTTGTATGTAAACAAAATCAAAACAATTTCAAACTTCCCTTAGTTCTACAAGTAGGGAATCGGCTGATTGTGTGACTTGCAAGGGTTCACATGTTCAGAAGCTGTCTATTTTTGACCACCTTAATTACATTTCAATTAATGTATTAAAATAAAAGTTTTAGATATTTTTTATATTATAAAAACGTTCAATTTTTCCTGTATTTAGATCTGACATGATTGTGACTAAGGAGGGTATTTTATTTATTTACTTATTTATTTATTATCATTCATTCATTCATTCATTCACTGAATTTCAACAGAAAAAAGGGGATTTATAGCATAGCACATGAACAAGACCTCTGTCCTTGAAGTAAGCAAAATTTGCTGTCTGTCATTTTAAAATAAATTCATCAGCCTAAATCGAACGAGAATTTGGGGGAAATGAGGAGACTTAGCTCAGGTGTATCACCCCACTTCGCCTCATCCTAATGAATATTATGACATGATAAATATTCCTCCCGCGCTTTCAATAATACTTCCGCATTCTTGTGAAGTATGGATTGCTATATGCGGTGCCATTGGAATGTGTATTAGAGGCTTGTGAGCGACATGGGTTCAGAGAAAATATGACAAGAATGGTAACAGGAAATTATCCGAGATTGCCAAGTGCAACTGAAATCTTGTCCAAGCTATACAGTCGAAGATTGGCGCGATTATGATAAACAATCATCAGTACTAGTGTTGCATCAGGGAAAATAATATTTGTAAAGAACAGAACGCAATGAGGCTGATGCATGAGGAAATCTCCATCGTATATGGCAGAAGTAAACGAAATAACTAAATATACAAATAAAATGACCTGTTTTGTTCAGGAATATCATAAACCTTTCGCAATTCAACCTTTAAAAATGCTCGAATTGTGACGGGCTTGATTAATTGAGTAGGGTTAAGCAAATGGGTATAGTTTTGTTGTAGCATGGCATATAGGCCTTTAATTTTGTGGTCGAAATACACCTTGAAAATGAGAGATTTTATACTAAAATTCTGATTATCAAATGTTAAAAATTCTACTCTCTGAATAGTCGAAATGTCGCGAAGCCTTTCCAACGGCCGTTTCAGATCGCAATGTGAGGATTTACGTCTAGCTATTGATACGCATGCCATTCTGCGCCCGAGATAGTAATATAATATCTAATGTTCTTGCCAACTGTCATCTTTGATCAACATCGTCACTAGTCTTCAAATCCCATCGCTCGCTCGCTCGCTAGGCGCTGCTTGCCATAGCTTTCAACGGCTCACTTTCTTGGCAATCAAGTTTAACCGCCATTTTAAAAAGGTGATACATGCATTTATGATAGAAAGTAGAATTCTTTTCTTAACATAATTTCGAAATAGGTCATTTCGTATACTTAAATTTTGGTTTCGTAAACGCAATAAGGTATATTCTTCACACTCACTGTCTCTTCATTTTCTCCAGTTTATTGGCATTCAAGTTTAGCCGTCATTAACAATGCTTCAAGCATGTTTTTTCTTTCGACAGAAAATAGGCCTTTAAACACAAAACGTATCTACATATTCTTTTTACATGCAAATTTGAGTTGGTTTTAACAATATGAAATACAAGGTAATAACACATTAAGGAACACAGAATTAAAACATTTTACACGGACTATTCAAGCGATTTGATTATCTAAAATGCATGATGATTAATGGCAAGAGTCCGAAAGATTTGTTGAAATCATCGCACGTTAATCAATGGGCTATGGGCTTTATTGCCACAATAAACAACATGTGACTCGGTTTGCGGTTAGTATAGTTAAACTGTAATAACAGTTTTCTGAAGGGTTATTGGTTTGTGATTAAGGTTAAAAGGGAAAGCGATGGGGTAATTACATAGTCATGTAACCTCCCATCCTCAATGTATTGAGTAGGTCTTGTATCTCACCATCAAACTTCAATAAATAATTTTGATATAACTGGGGAGGGAATAATATTGTTACGAAGTTATCTTGCCGAGGACATGTAACTATTTAAATGACAAGCCTTTTTTCCCCCGAGTCATATTCACATGTAAAGCAGGCCTGACGGGTGGGGGAGGGGTAGCTTGAGTACCCCAGCCTACCCCCTCTCAGAACCTCTCAGAGTGTAGCCAAATCTGGAGGTATTCTTCATTGGAACACCACCTCTCTCTCTCTCTCTCTCTCTCTCTCTCTCTCTCTCTCACACACACACACACGCACACACACACGCACACACACGTCCGCGCGCATACACACAATTATTTTTTTACGAGATTGACGCCCCAAAAGTACATTCGCTACAATAACAAGCATATTACCACATTGATTGTATAACCTTTCAGTCAAATTATCAATCAATTGGCCCGCTTCCAGACCCCACTCCTATATGAAAATTGATAAACACATCCGCCAAGGGCCTAAGGCTAAGGGAGTCCAGACAAACACACATACAATGGAAAGGTTAGTACTCAGTGAAACCAATTTCCTTATGACAGATATTGGAAAGAGCTCATCCTGCTGCCTGATGTTTAATATTCAAGGTCGAATTTAAATTATTTCAGTTCATTCCAAGAAGAGACAGACATGCAGAATGATCAAAGACGACGTGGAATGGCGAATCATTACATCACTGAACTTACCTTTCTTCGAAGTCGAGGACCAAGCTAGGATCTAGGATGTTATCCTCGGGCTCCCAAGTATTGCATCTGTAAAACAAGGGGGAAAGTAAAATGTGTTATACAAATACAGCCATTATTCCACTAAAATGCACGCAGATAATCAGTGGTGGATTTATTACCGATTATATGAAATGGTAAACTGCCAACTAATCTGGATTATGTAGGTGGTGGTGTTTATGTGGGTGCGTGGGAGGGTGTCGGATCCACTGAGTCAGACCCCTTTCATAACGGTCGAAGGGCGAGGACGTGTGTCCTTTCATATAAAGCATAATGCCCATCTACTGCCCAGTATTCTTTGTCAACAAAGACGATCAATATCCGATGAAGGAAAAACCGTTCATCCTCTTTCAAATCATTCTACTCTTATCGTTGGTCGGAGATACAATCACCGCTGCTATCTTCACTTAAATCACCCTTGGCTAGGCTTTGACATGATCATAATACTTGCTTAGAACTGTTCACATATGCAATGGTAATTTACAAACGCACTTAAAATTTGCCAATGGTAGGCGAAATAAGGGTTTGTGAATTTTGCATTCACATTCTGTACTCGTTATGATAATGTTATCAGTCAAATGTGATTAGTTACCTCTAGGGACCGACCATTAACATCATCACCAACCGAAAGACGTGACTCGCGAAGTGAACCGGTGTTCGTAAAGATCAGTTTCTTTGGGAAGACAGAGATGTCCCATTTCATTATATTATTGAACGATTATATGCACCGGGGAGGGGGGGGGGGGTGGTGGTCCGATTTGTGTTTACACATTTGTCACCCCAATGTCACTTCCTTGTTAGCAAAAGGACAACCTGTCGCAATTTTCTTCATTCCTGGAAAAGGAAAGGTTAGAGTACTTGGCCTTGCATATAAATCAATACTCTTCGTGTGGGATGGAGTAATTTGTTACGATGATAATTCGACGAGATTTGCAGGCTTGATGTTCTAGTCAAAGACATGCGATTTCATTTATTTATACAATATAGCAATTGGGAAATGTTGGTTATGATGTAGGCCCCCATACTGCGAGGTTTGGGCATGAAATTTGGTCCAAACACGGTCATACTCCGAATTTAAGGGTATTTGAAGAGGCACCCTTTTCAGGGAATATTTTGTTTTCTATGATATTCTTCCACACTACCATAACAAGAATTAAAACCAAAAAATACCTCATAAAATATTCCTCACCTATCCCAGAACTCAACCCTCTCTCTGAGTGATCAACTTTTTCTGATCGATTCACACCGTTCCTTTCACATTGCAATCGCATGACCAGAACTCTTAAAGGTTCTCCATTGCTCATTGAATTTTCAAAGGCTTCCTGTTGGCGGAAGATCGAAATGTCAGCAATTAACCTGGCTTTTTTCATCTTCAGTAATGTATTCACACACGTCTTCGTCGATAGGTAGGTCAATGGTTTTATACTGGCGCAGAACAGGTGGAATGCCGTGTCGTGTACCTCCATAAAATTATTCTGGAGTAATGGGGTAAGAAAACATCCGTATGTGTCTCAACGTAGAAGCTTCTTTGCAGCGCATCAGTTTATATTTGTTTTTGGTGATGACGGTTATGGTTATAATGTTCGTCAACTTGAATGAAATTTTTACAGTTAAAAGATAAAGTAATACCAAAACTCATAAAATTATTGATTCAATCTAAACAAATTAAATTAATGATATTTCCTACGCGGTTTGATCACAGAGCAGACATCTGCGATTGACAGATTTGTCGCAGACTTCGTACCCGCAAATGTGTGCGAAGCAAAAAGTGGCGCTCCCCCCCCCCCCCCCCCCAGCATCCGTTCCCGCCATTTACTTTTTTAGCGAAGCATCCATGTTAGTAATTCCACTCTCTTGGGTGAGCTCTAAAGAGAGATTTCCGCGGGAAATTAGCTGGATAGTTGTTTAATAGATCCCCTCAAACACATGTGCACTTCGTGACATCTTTTAACTAATATTGCGGCTCGTGCTAACAGCAGTTGGACCGAGAAGCGGAAAGAGATAAATAGGATGTAAAATTCGTACTCAAATATAATTCATTTTATATCGTGCTTGAGGGATCAACACCGGACAAAGCGATTTCGATGCAATGCGACATTAGACAGCTTAGAAATTAGAACAATCACCCTCCTTGTCACCATAATAACTGAAGTTAGCTGGCAATGTGTAAATCATTTTTATACTATATCTTGAATAATATTACAGTTACAAGCGTACAAATAATTTTTACAACAAAATTGATGAATTCTGTTTGCGGAGTATCGCTGATTTTTGCCAAGGGGTCAAATTACTTTTAGTTCTTACAAAACCATATAAATTTAGTGGAAAACTACATTTTCCATTGAAATAGGGTGGATGGATCTTTAAAAGGAGTAGAGCCAGAATAGAATCCTGCGATATGTCTTATACCTGTTCGTGTACATGTTGGTGTTTTGCAAAATTGGGTTTTGCGGAAGAGTTATCAAACACGGTAGAGGAGGGGGGGGGGGGTAGATAGATGGATTTTATTTTATGCGTTTTTTTTTGTAATGGACTAATTCAACCATGTCGCGAAGACAACTATAAGATAATTATCTAGATTTGTAATACCAATACCATAATTTCCCAAGTAAATCACCGCCTTACTGTTGTACACGTCTTGTATTGCGTTACCAAGTCTTCAAACAGATCACAATGCATGCGAGTGATGAGACAACGACCTAATGAATGGCGCATTTAACCTACACTGTCGTGGAAGAGAGAGCAGCTACATATGGCTTCAAAACAAAACGGCGTTCAATCTCGAAAGCGCAATTTGTAACCAGACTCGATTGTGCTGGATTCTCCTTAACCTTCAGCTCTCACCTCTTGAATATCCTCCCCATTACCTATTGATTTCAACCCGATATGAGCTTCCTCCATCTGATAAGATACACGAGAAGAGACCCCCCGTTTAGACGACAAAATTTCATCGTCCGGCTTTACCTAAATCGTATAGTAGCTATACGATGAATAATAATTGTGATAACTTAATAAGTAACCTTTTTGTAATGCTACAAATATTAGTCATTGCGGATGTAGTATCGAAAATAATATCGCTAGTGATATTCGTTTGTCTCGCAATGTATGGTCAACAATAGATCTAAATGATCACAACGTTTCGTGCGTTGCTGCAACACTTCGTCAGGTGATGAAATATAATGTAAGCAACCGTAGAGTATAAGTATAAGTGTTACAGCGGTGTAAGCGAAACGTTGTGAACTCTTAGATCCCTTGTTGACCATACATTTCGAGACAAATATCACTAGCGAGATTATTTTCGAACCTTTTTGTAGTCTGACGTATGAACGAAACGTCGTATAGCGGAACGTATGTCCAAGCAACGTCTCAAACAAAACTCGATCTAGTCTGAACGTCGTAGGCCAGTCGTAGAAGAAGAAAAAAGGCGTATATACCTGGCGGGTGTTATCCTGAGCATCGATTAATGGCTAGCTGTCATGTAAATTGAACTCTCTAAAACCAGTTTCTTTATAAGATGTTTTTATCAGTGTGAAAACCCCTTTCGCTATACGGTGCACGATGATTCTTTATATCGGGGTTCCGTAAACAAATTAATGCAGTATGAACAGGCTATTTCGCATGTGTTTTCTGCAGTGTGAACAGGTACAGTGGCAAATTATTGAGTGATGCGCACCCCATCCGTAGCTATCTCATCATCGCCCACTTATGAATGTATGTATATAGGACATGATGCAACTCACGCGGGGGGGGGGCATTAAAGGTACTATGTCCCATTTGCAGCCAACATCTAATTGTGTAGAACTTTGCAGGAATTATGAATATGTCACGTATGTCCTATTTGTGAAATTTAAACGTTAGTAGTGTCATAATATTCAAATTGTGCAAAGAAACCCGTTTACTTTCTACTAGATTTCACTGTCAAACACTATTGAGTGACTCACTGACTCCTTTTTTCCCTTTCCTAATAACATACGGAACATGAGCTGTAAAGGGTACATGAGCATTTGTCTACATCAATAACCCACTTCTTGTAATGGCCAAAATCAAACTGATTGAATCCGTCCGCAGCACAAAACGTACGACCATTCGGTACAAGGGTCTGAAAATCAGACTATTACTACAAGAATTGCCATCACTAAAGTCGATTCGGCAACTAATGGTCGTTATTTTTCCACTTAAAGACATTTTCTCGCCCTTTCGTTTTCAAATGCCGTTGGAATTTAACCTTTTCATTATTTTGGCCTGCAAATGAAACGTTTAAATTAAAGGTAAAATGATGTTCTGGAAAAGGTTAATTATGAAGCAATAAGTGTATACTCTACGATTTCGGAATCATCAAATTAAGAACTTGACTTAATCTTGCTGAAAATCTCATGCACGGCACAGAGAGTTATGCATATGGGACCATACACTCTTGAATCATGACAGCTAGGTCCAAACATTTCAGCTATTTCTGTTCATATTTCGGATATGACGGCTTTATAGAGCAAACCTTTTCAGAGGACTTTAGTTTTGTACTATCGTCTTCCACAATAACAAAGAATGAATCAAAAAGCTCCCACATTTTGTTTACACCTTTTCCAGAACTCAACGTTTTCTTTAATGATTCGGTGGCCGTATGAGGTTGAAGATCTGTCTAAACCGCTCAACTGGTTTTTGGACCGGGGCATCACCCATGCCATGATGCAACACCCAAGGGGCTCGCATTACATCCTGGGCTTTTGATTCTCTGGCATTATGAGAAGCATCACCGAATCGGCACGTTCATAAACAGTAAATGTGCTTGGTATAGGCCTACATCGTATAACGATCGCGAAATGTTATCATCCTAACTGCACAAAATGACAAGTAGACATGCAAGTCAACGCTACTATCACTGACACTTCATTTAGGTAAAGCTCCTTGCATGTTCATCAATCATCAACACGGTTATTATCTCTATACCATGTAATATTTCTTTAGAGCATCTCGTAAAAACATAGGCATATTTATCAATTGCCGAAGTGCATCATCTTGTGCCACCCACAATT